ACACGCACGTGTGCACGCACACACGCACGCGCACACACACACACACACACACACACACACACACACACACACACACACACAGGAGTGCAGTCTGTGTGTTCTTCTAACAGATGGTAATGACATCTAATCATAACAGCAAACACACATACAGGCTGATACACACACATGCACGTTCTGTACATACAGACATAGACACAGACACACACACACACACACACACACACACACACACACACACACACACACACACACACACACACACACACACACACACACACACACACACACACACAGACACTCCAGTCTCCCTCTAGATTAAAACATCCTTCATAGCAAATAAGGTTAACAGCATAATTCATACCAAATATGAATTGAGAACATAACCTAGGCTGGCATGTCTTTCATTTAAATGTATTCCAGTAAGGCCATTTAGATTCCATTAAAAAACAAACAGTTCCATCCCCATCACGCTACATGGAGATATGTTTATGTTTGATAGAAATTAAAAATACTTTAAGGTAGAGAGGTATTTTCTGTCAAAATGTAGCCTCAGAAATACATTGAAATTTCACTGTAAGCATTTTATTGTTAAAGAGGACATTCATTTAGAGCATATAATAATAACTTGTGCTGAGAAAGTGTCCGTGGTCTATTATACTTTAAAAACAAAATCATTCCTCTGTGTTTCTACCTTTGTTCCCAGGGTATGAATGTTGGCCGAAGTGAAATCCAAAATGTTGTCAAAAGACAACCCTGGAGAATGTCATGCAACCAAGCCGAAGCTCAGCTTTACAGTCACTGAGCACACAGGCCTTTTGCGTCATGGTCAAAAGAGCTAAAACGTTTTTTTTGTTCTTCTGCTGGTTAGCTTATGTGTTCAAGGATAAGAGAGATAGGAAAATAATTGTTCTGCACTTTGCAAAACTCCAAGTGTACAAATAAGTGGTTGTGCTAACAATGAAACATAATACATAGCATAAACATGCTCTTTGCTAACGATGTAGCATATAGCTAATTGAAAGCGGGTATTTTCTGATATTCTTTTTTCCTGCATATCAGCTTATGTGTTCAAGGATACAACAGATAAAAAAAAAAAGTGTACTTTATCCTCAATGCAATCATGTAAAGAGAAAGTTATGCTAACTGTTTAGCATAGTCACAGTAAACAGGCTTTGTGCTAATAATGGGGCATACAGCTAACTGAAAGTGGGTTAGGGATCTAACTTAAGCAGGCATGATTGATAGGGGGCTCAGTCATATAATTGGAAATAAATTAGCACATTTTACTTTTTTGTATGAATGTAGCATATTGTTTTGGCTAATAAGAGGCTCAGTGGCAGCACTTTAGCATGCTACTTATTACTGAGTGATAACACGCACAGGATTAACATCATCATACACCATAGTAAATGATGGCTTGCTAAATGCCATAACATTGTTAATGCTTCAGTAATAGAGAGAGCTTAGTGCTAACACAAAGCCTAAGTTCCGGGTCAAGACTTTCAACAGGCTACACTGTATTGAGTCACAGTTGGCTCAATTCTAACATGTTACGGCCCCTACACACGGCGGCGTGCGTTGCCGCTTCAACACTTATGCCCATGATTATTATTACTTTTTGTTGTGTTACTTCCCATTGTAAAGCGTCCTTGGGTTTCGTGAAAGGCGCTATATAAATTGAAATTATTATTATTATTATTATTATTATTCACTTTGAATGGGGTGACGTCACGATTCGCCGAACTGCATTGTGGGAGCAAAGCGTAGCTTCTCTCGCGGTGCTCGCTGCAAAAGTAGAGCAATGTTCTACTTTTGCCGCCTCGACGGAGGCGTCAGCCAATCAAATTCCGCTTATGCAAATCTGACAGCACAAGCGCTAGCCAATCAAACCGCGTGTATGTTGGGAGAGCCAGACCGCAGTTATTTCCCATATGTCAAAAAATGGAGGAGAAAATTATCGTGGCGGTAGGGAATCACCCGGTACTATATGACCAGTCCCTCTTTACATACAGGGATACAAACCGGAGGAGCCAGAAATGGGGGGAGGTGGCAGAGACAGTGGGTGAAACTGGTAGGTTTTCGCCTGTTTGGGGAGTTTATATCCAGTGTACTTCGTTTGAATGGACAGCTAGCAAGCATAGACAGTATATTTAGCCAGCATGGATGTAGCATGAATGCTTTGCTTTGTATGTCCGGGGCGGGACATTCATGTGATTGGTTGTTGGTCGCGTTGCTCGGGTTGACTCCCCAAGCTCAAGACACGCCCACCGCCAAGCGGCAACGCACGCCGCCGTGTGTAGGCTCCATTACGGTGCCTACACACAACGGCGTGCGTTGACTCTTCAACGCTTCTGTCCATTCAATTTGAATGGGGTGATGTCACATTTCGCCGAACTGCATTGTGGGAGCAAAGCGTAGCTTCTCTCGCGGTGCTCGCTGCAAAAGTAGAGCAATGTTCTACCTTTGACGCTTCGACGGAGGCGTCAGCCAATCAAATCCCGCTTATGCAAATCTGCCAGTACAAGCGCTAGCCAATCAAACCGCGTGTATGCTGGGAGAGCCAGACCGCAGTTCATTTCCTCATATGCCAAAAAATGGAGGAGAAAATAATCGGGAGGGAGGTGGCAGAGACAGTGGGTGAAACTGGTAGGTTTTCGCCTGTTTGGGGAGTTTATATCCAGTGTACTTCGTTTGAATGGACAGCTAGCAGGCATAGACAGTATTTAGCCAGCATGGAATGTTGCGTAAAATAGCACCATAGACATTAATGTCATAAATGTTCATCATATAAAGTTTGACATGTAAAACCTTTTATGCAATTGACAGGAGAGATTCATGTGATTGGTTGTTGGTCGTGTTGCTCGCGTAAACTCCCCAAGCTCAAGACACGCCCACTGCCAAGCGGCAACGTACGCCGCCATGTGTAGGGGCCAGTCTTCAGTGATAGCAGGCTTACCCCCAGTTGCCACCGGGTCCGTCTGCGTCGCGATACGGCCGCGTTACGGCCGCGTTACGGCCGTGTTACGGCTGCGCCACGGCGTTCACAAAGATCGCGGCCACTCTAGTCAATGGGTGCTATTCCACCACACGCGGCGCGTTACGGCTCAGAAGCGTCCCAGAAACGTCTCGGCGCAGGGCTCCTCTAAAATTAGGATGAATCCTATTTTTGACGCGACGCAGCCGTAAGGTAATGTCGGGCAGGCAGGAAGTGGAACGTTCAGAGCATATATAGCATATATATATATATATATATATATATATATATATATATATATAGCATATATTCCTACTTGAAAGACTACGGAGGGATAGGGTCTGCAAAATTAGTTTGTGTGTGTGTGTACACACACAAACTAATTTTCAAGTAGGAAATGTGAGCGTTCTCCTCCGGTTTTCAGGCACTGTGTAAATTATATATAGAATAATTATGATGATGAATGCATTTTTTTACCACTAACATACTACAACACACCTTTGATTAATGTCGTTTATAACTGGAATATTATTATTATTATTAACTTTGTCTGTACAAAGTAGCCTGTCCAGGAAATATGCCCAAATCAACAAAAACTGCGAGCCGGCAGGCAAGACGCTCCGCTTCTAAAATGCTTCTGAAACGCGCCCGGTGGGTTATGACCGTTATGACCGTTATGACGCTAGAGGAGGTCGGACCAAAACCGCGGCGCAGACGGACCCGGTGGAAACTAGGTGTTATGCTAACATTTTTGCAAGCACTCTTTTGACTGATAGCAAACTCAGTGCACTTTATACAATCTATTTACTGATTCTATGCCAACAATTTACCAGGAGACAAGGCCATGAGCTGATGGTGAAATGAGGCCTGGATAAAGTAAGATGATTCCAAACACACACAGTGCAATAGAGAGAGACTGGGAGACACGTGAAGGAATGTAATTATGTCTGACAAAAACAGATAGCTGTGACGCTATAATTCTATCAAAACCTCACAACAACATTATCCATCCTCAATATCCTTCTCAGCAGGACAGCACTGTATTTCCTGTTGTTTACATAAACCATGGGATGGAGAGTGGGACGGTTCATCACAGAGATCCCTTAATATTTGTTGCCCTGTATTGAGTGCAAGGGCACAGTTGAGTAGATTGCATTAGGGGATTTGAATGTCCTGCATGAGGGGATTTGTCAAGGGGCACAGATTAATACAAGAGCGACAGAGAAAATAAGAAGCAATGAATAATAGGAAATAAAGACAGGTAGGCCTATCAGAGTTTGGCATTATCATGTTTTATCTGATTGTTCTAAAACTGTAGAGTTTGTGAATCTGTGTAAAATACTTAAAGCCAACAATATTTTTTATTGTGTCCTCATTACATCACATAGAACATTTATTATTTGTGTAACCTGCTATAGCCTACATATTTCTGTGTTGTGTTTTGGCATCTCTGGCTACTTTGGAGGCTTACGTAGAAAGTATAATAGAGGTATATGGGTTTGAACACGTGGAAACTAAGAACACAGTACTGTCCGAAGGTTTTATGGGGGTGTGTAAAATGTAGAAGATTATTTTATACATCCCACCTTTTACTGGATTCAACTAGTTCTGCTCCAGGGGTAATTGAAACCCCTAAAACATTTATTTTATATAACAAATGCTTCCTATTTTAAATTGACAACAATGTTGTACTTTCTATGACAAAGAAGGGAACCCGAGACACAGAAGTAGTTACATTTGAAAAAGACTGACAGATACGTGAAAACATTTAGTGAAAATGGGCTTATTTTGAGTTCTAGTCACTAAAATATCTTCAGTGTTCTGTCCTCGGTACTCTCACAGCAGCACTAATGAACACACACACACACACACACCCCAGGCTTGTTGCCCACTTTATTGCATCCACATGATCCATTTTTCATTCACTCATACACATTAATCACAAATGTTTTGCTTAAAAGTGGTAAGCTAGTAAGTCACCTCCTACTTGTACGTTACGTGAAATAAGATGATCATCAGATCTTACCTTTAACGATGAGTTCAGCGTAGTTGGACACCCCTGATCCGCCGTCAGATCGGATGACGCAGCGGTAGCGGCTGGTGCTGCGCTGTGATGTGTCGCCAACACTGACGGTTGCAGTGAAACGCCGGTGGTTCACCACCCGGGTCACCATCAGTGCCGTGTCCCTACCGTTCCACTGCTGCATAATGAGAAAGATAAGACCAGTCCAGTTTCAGCAAAATCCCTGTATATACAGTATACCCTTTGTAAAGAGCTCACAATGGTTGCACTGGTGGATAGTACTGATAAAAAGAGCACATTTTCTTCAATCAAATGCAATTTAGACTGATTTTTATTTATTCTTTCATTACCAACCAACCAATCAAAAATTGAAGCATAAAATGAATACAAATATATGTGAATGAAGGAAGACAAGAAAATATGATTCATGCCACCACGACTCAATGAGTATAATAAGATGAGACGTGTCAGTCAACCGAACACCTCTTTCAGCCTCATGTTATGAGTAATGCATTAAGAGAGGTAAAATACATTTTTGAGCGAGTCTCCTACCTTGGATACAAATATAGAATTTCTTAAGGAAAATGAAGGTCGTTTCATTGACCTAGACATTTATACAACTGAATTTTCTTAGATTCATCTAGCTCTGATTTTGTAGAACTGCAGTATGCATAAGACACTTAGATGTGGGTTTCAATATGCTATAGTGCTTGTCATAATGTAGCTTTATCAGGTGTATCTGATTATTAGAAAGAATATGAAGTAAAGAGGCAAGAGTAGCTCTGCCAAAAGCTCTCACTGTTTTGGAAGTAGTATAAGTTCTTCATCAAATGTATTGAAATTACAGTAATTCCAGGAGGCAGGCATCAACAAACACCACAGTAATGACTCCATTTGATGTCAAAAACTGTCAGGAAACAGGGGCCATTTTAGCAGAGCAAGTCAGACATGAAACTAAACATCGTACTGCTTTGCATATGATCCCCACATCTCCAGATCCAATCTTCTTTACCACTGTAGTAGTATCAGCCAATTTAAGGAAACACGCTTTCCCCCACAGGCCTGCAGTCAGGAGGGTCACTGCTCTCCATTGCAAATGTCATTACTGTACAGAGCAGCGCTCTCAGTGGTACACACTCATATGCAGTGAAAACATGCAAGCTTGCCAGTGCATATGTAAACTAGAATGAGTATGTAGGCATGCACATGACACACATACATACACACACACACACACACACACACACTTGTACAGAGATGGAGTTATTGGTGCGGAGCAGTACAAGGACTTTTAATCAATCCTGAAATAGAGCTGGGAAGGCTGGGGATGTCAGCCCCAAAGTACATTAATTGTTATTATTTTTTTCCTAAATAGAATTCTGAATGAATTATAACTGCATTTGGAGCTCGGATTTCTTATGAAATATATATGTGTATTTGCACATGATTTTTGCTCAGCTTCCAGTGGTGAAACATTCAAACTCTAAGAAAGAGATGGAGAACAGTAGTAAGCTGGCATGGTATGAGCCATAATGTAGAGGTGTTTTGATTCATAAAATGAATGGACTTGGAGGAAATGGAAGTGCAAATGTCCTTTTCGCATTTCTTATGAAAGCCCATGCTTGCACTAGACATATTGCAGTGTTTTATCAGAAGAAAAACAAATATATATATTGACAATAATGATTGTTTATTTTCATTAGATTTACCTGAACAACTGTTATTTACTAGACTTCTTTTTTTTTTTTAAATAAACAAGTGATTACACTATGCCACAGTGCAGCATTACCTTTCACAAAATGTGAATATTACATAATTATATTCCAGAATATGTGGGCATAATGAGCATTGTGAGCTTCCTTTGAAGTCCTGCATGTACTCTTTCTGCTGATACCATTCATGCACACTGATACGGAGGTACTAACCTGTAGCCAGAGTTTATCGTGCTGAGACCACTTCCCTCCAGCAGTACACTGAAACGTAGCATTCTGACCCACGTTCACCTCCACATTCTGCAGACGCAGGAAGTGAGGAGCTTTACCTGCAACAAACAATGTACACAGACACTTGTAAACATTCAGCTAGAATATTCTGTATAACCAGACAAGATACAAAAGGCTATTTTGTTGCAACAATCATACTTTAAAATTGGGGACCTCTTAAAAGGAATAAAGGACCTGATTAAATGAACTCTCTGTCTGAAAAGGTCTTTAAGCTCTCTAAAATATTAATAGTTATATAATCCTGTATTACAGCAATTGGCAAGCCACTGAAAGATGCCATCCTGTTATCAAAGTCATGGTAGATCCACAATGGATTACAATAGCAGATGCCACTGGCAATAAGAAACACAATTGCCGGAAAATGCACAACTGTATAAATCCAGTTGAAATATGTCTCTCTGTCTGAGAGGCAGGGAAATTCATGGGATAGCTGAGACAGATGAGCAGGCAGACAATGAGAGCGACGGCCAGACACTGCGTGACTTTGGCCTGGCATTGAGACCAGCCAGCGACTGGTTAATTTCATTTGGACTGTCTGCAGACAGAGATAAGCCTAACAGAGTATGCATCAATCAATTACTGATGATAATTCACTCTGACAGTCAGGTTTTCACAAATTAAACAAACTTTTTTTTCGTTTTTTTTAACGTTTTTCTTTTTCCAAAACACTTCATTAATGTAGTTTGTCCTCCTAAACATGTTTGTTTTCCAGCTTATTGTCTTTCTTCCATGATGGATACCTCTAGCTCTTTATCATGGACTCTCTCACTTGGACTAATCTGATTAGTGATTGGCACAGATGAGCTGAGAGTTTTCTTGCCAGCCGGACCATTCAGACTACCAGTATTTGTTTGTTGAATAAAAAAATAATACCAATAGCGTTGAATTGAACTGAATACATTTTTGAATTTATGTTTGGATGTCAAAAACACGATGGCAGTGATGACGTATTTTTACACGAAAGTTAGCATTGCAAAGGATTCCATGACAAAAAGCAATGGGATTTTCCATTGGATTTTGGAATATAGCAGGAATTAAGATTTGTGTCTAACACACGTTTATTCAGCAGGATAATGTACACATATTAACACCACTTTTATGATTTTTGCGTGTGTAAATCGTGCGCAATCAGCCTAAGTACAAAGCTAACGTTTGGCTATAATGGAACTACATCACGGTCACATGACGCTAAGCTAAAGGTGGCTAATGTTTGCCGTGATGATATTTAACAGTCTCATTTAGTTTTCAAGATATATTGAAGCTTCGAACATTTACTAGTGGGATGTTTACTGCCGTATCTCATTTTGTTGAACAAAATGTAAAAATCTCTTCAGCTTGTGTTAACCAAACCTTATTCCAGGTATCTAACCAAGAACTTGTTCAACAAAATGGTTTACTTTAAAACGAGAGAACCCAAATTGGTAAAAAAAAAGAATAATTCTAAGTTTTCCGACTAATTTCTGCACCACTCTATAAGAAAAGTCATGGGAGAATAGTTAAAGGGAGTAATAATAAGTGAACATAGAGAGGTAAGTAGGCCACAGAGTGTTGCAGTAAGCAGTCTGGAGTTTTGTGAAGCTAAGTGTTTCTGTCAGATTTGAGTGATGAAGACCCTGAGTTTGGACCTTCTTCCTGGCTCTCTGCAATCTGTCTGCAATCTGTCCTTCACACAGCCTGTGTGTGTATGTGTGGGTGAGTGTGAGTGCGCTATAAAACAGATGATGCTCAGTGGGGCTACAGTTGTGCAGGGTCAACCATTACGACACACACACACACAAATACACAGACACACACACACACAGTCACTTACGGCAGGGGTGAGCCAGAACTCGTATGTCGTCGATGGCGATGAAACCTGGACGGCCTTGAACTGAAACGGCTTCAAATATGACCTGAGAGGGGAAGAAGCAAGCAAAACAGAAAGGAAGAAAGAAGTGTGTTAAGCCACAGTGTTCTATAAAAGAAGAAACTACAAAAATATCTTTCCTTGCACAACATCTCGACGGCCCTGAGAAGCTCATATAGAAACCCCAGGGGAATTTTCCACTGAAAGTCAGCAACTATTCGTCTCTACACTTCATCCCTTCATCCGTCTGTCTGTATCCTTATGCCAACCACATGCCCTTCCTCCTACTCTTTCCTCTCGTCTTTCTTCATCTCATTCTCCTCCTTTTCTTTCTATTTCAGTCCTCCTGTTCTTCCCTCTCTATCCATTCCTGATACCTCTCCTCTCAATTACTTGTTTTTGTTTTATTCTTCACTTTTTCTCCCAGCCCATAATTAAAAATGTGTTTCTTTACATTTTCCTTTCCACATAGCCTACTTCACAAACACGCTCAGGGTGACAGGCAGTCAGCAGGGCTGCCAAGGGGCCATGCACTTCTGACCCACACATACAGTATGTACACACACTGCACACACAGTCAAATACGTCTGTGCTGTACTTGTCAGGATCCTCAACAATATAAGATGGAGCTCAGCCTGAATACTAAAGACTTCTGGGTAGACTTTACTCTTGCCCTTTCCTTCAAAAAATATATCCCCTGCTCTGGCTCGCTAGTCAAGTTTCTAGACATCAAAGACAGTCCTATCATTTTTTTCTTTACCGTTATTTTATGTTTTGAATACGTTTTACGAGCTTGTTTCATCATAAGACTACCATACTATATTTAAAAATCAACACATGTAAAAGAGGCTTAAAATAGAGGCTGTTCAGGAGAGAGAGAAATGTTTACCTAAATGATTGTGTTTACCCTCCCAGTGATCTGGACTTTAATATGACAATGTTGTTGTCCTTTTAGTGAAAGGAAATGTCGTTTCTCCATGGGAAGTGACTCCTCATTAGCGAATGCACGCACACATGTATGTCACTCTGGTTAGCATTGTGCCATGCAGCTACAGGGGTGCCTTCATTTACTGAACACAGCTCAGTCATTATAGGTAAAACACAGTCGCTTTTGTGCTACTTCAAGAAATCATCACAGCAGGGTATATACCGCTGTACCTTGAAAGGACCGAAGCAAACACACATACAGAAAGTAAGGGTCATTCAATTGCAGCATATTTGGGTTTCTTTGGTTTATACTTAACCACCACTTGCAAAACATGACCTCTGAGTATACATATAAAAAGCCTATTGTGTTATTGACTATCAAAGCACAACATGGTTTCGTGAAAATGAAAGTTTGCAGGATTCCAGTTGTATCTTCATGGTGTATTGTATTTATTGTAAGGCGCTCTTTATACAAGTGTAAATTAGCATTCCATGTGTTGTTATTATGTAATTGTTTGAATTCTAAGTAGTAGGCCTTTGTTAATTTAATTCCACACTGTTACTTACACATGAACTAAAGACATGGATGCCAAGTAGTTGTCCTTAAAGCTACTATAGTCTCTACCTTGCCTCAGTTTTAATCTTAGCCTATTGTTTGTCATGCTAAAGTAATAGTGTGTAGCATATTAGTCAGCTGAAACAGATGTATATGTTTATTTTTAAAATGTAAGTTCCTTTAAATGGGTGTTTTTCTTCTAAAAAGTAATATTGGTTCAAATGCCTTAACATGCAGCTAACTTTGCAGCTAACTGTTGAGCTAAGTGTATGCTGCTAACGTACACAAGGTAAGTATCTAACTAATGTAACTATCATCAGACTCAACAACACCGCCCTAAAATATATTACAACCGTCAGACCTTCAATAAAATATAATAAAGGAATGTCTGTGATGCTCTATTTTTATGAGGGATACGTTTTCTAACATGTTAGCCGAAAATGTTAGCTAAACGTTAGCTTACTGTTCATTAAGCATCTGTCTCTCTGTGTGTGTCCCAGCTGTCAAAGGTTGTTTTAAAAGTTCACTGTTGCTCATTGCTTCTGAGAGTAGTTTGTATATGGCAAACATTTTAGCCAGCAGTAAGGCACAGGTTTATAAAGTTAGCCAAATAAATGCTACCTATCAGTTAGGTGTTGTAGTTTCATGGTGATGGTAATGTATGACTTAGCCTACTGCTGCAACAACCCATTACATATAACACATGATCATGAACAACCCAGTCTCACGGCATTTCGTGTTATAGTCACGATATTAATCTATTGATTCGTGTCCACCAACACGATGTTTCGTGTCAAACAGGACGATTTTAAAAGCAATGTAAATAATAACCAATTAGAAGAAAATACAGATTTCAGTATTCTGAGGCTCTGAGCCCCATTTCTTTTCCTCGCGGATGGCAAAAAAGGTCCGACATTATACAATTTAAAATAAAAACAATAATCGTGGCTTGATATTGAGTAAGGAAATGTTTTTATGAACTACACAGCTTCTGGTCTTCCAAGACCCGACCGGACAAAAATATGTGGTGCAGGCACGAAACATAGGCTACTACCAATAGAAATGCATTGCTTTTAAAATCGTTCTGTGTGATATGAAAAAAATGGGAAAATCGTGTTGGTGAACACAAATCAATAGATTACATTTTGTGACTATTACACGGAATGCCGTGAGACTGGGTTGTCATGAATTAGTGTTATTACAAACATCTGTGCTTGAATGCTAAAGAGAGGTCCAAATACAGCTGTGTTTAAGTGACAATAGTTAAAAACATATTTGATACAATATTTTCAGTTTAGCACAAACAAATGTTTTCAGTGTCTCTTTCACACATTCATTGTCAAAACAAACACCAGCTTGACTCTCCATTCATTACGGTAAATATTTAATTAATTCTAGAGGAAAAACTATTAAAAAGACAAACAGCCCCAGGCAGGCCAGTCCAAATATTAAATATTGTCAAATTAAATATCTGCCTGACACATGGAATTAGGGAGTGCACTTCTTAGTGACATTAAACAGATTTGGTTTGATACTGTGGTAACTACATATATACAGTATATATACTTTAGTAACTACAGTATACAAGCATATACCAATATGTCATCTTGGACAAAGAGGATCATTTGTATGCGTTTGGGTAGTGTGAGTATGTGTGTGTGTGTGTGTGTGTGTGTGTGTGTGTGTGTGTGTGTGTGTGTGTGTGTGTGTGTGTGTGTGTGTGTGTGTGTGTGTGTGTGTGTGTGTGTGTGTGTGTGTGTGTGTGGTGTGTGTGTGTGTGTGTGTGTGTGTGTGTGTGTGTGTGTTACCTGATAGGAGTTAGGCCAGAATGTAGAAATGGCCAGCTCGGTCTTCACCCAGCCTTCAGTAACAGTAGCAGAGGTGTTCCACACTGGGTTACCCTGAGTGCCTCCATTCACCTGCAGGTACACAGTAACAAGAAACAGAAAATAAAAAATACAAGAAAAGAGAAATACAAGTTTAAAAATATAATTTGGCATTTGAACGTTTCTGAAAATAAAACTGGATAAGTTTACATTTAAAAAAAAGATGTGTAATCACTGTGTTAATTAGGCGTTAGTTGGACAAATGGACAGTTTTTTGGGACATTGCTGATGCTACTGTTTCTTAACTTAGACCACATTAACGATCAACCCCATTGGGACAAAATTGTACATTCTGAATGTATTTTATTCATTTCATTTTCGCACTAATGAGAATCTCAATTAAAGTTAAGATGGATACAATATCAAAGTTTACCAAATGTGTTAAATGAACTCTTAAATCCATAGTCGCCTGACATTGATTGATAGGTAATTGATTACATGATTAGTTGATTCCTTAACGCATTGAGCAGTGGTTTGTTATTCCCCTTGCTCAGACTTTTTTCACTTTAAATCATAGCTTCATCCTCACATCCATACATTCCTTTGATTTCTGCTTACTGGTCTTCCGTTCAGCTCCCTCTAAATTAGCCAACTCTTTTTTAACAGCCTGTCCATCAGGGCCTTAAGACCACAATATAAAATATGAATTACAATATTCATAAACCACTGGTTCCTATTCTTAATCTAAGCTGTTTGCTGTATACAACCATTTTTATAATTTGTTAATTTTAACATGCATTTGTCTCCACTGGTTTCTGTAAATAAAGATTATATTATGCCGGTTTATTTCAGTCTTGCTACAAAGAGTAAAAAAGCAAAAACCATTCTCTCAAATGCTCTTTACTAAGCTTTAGCCTACTTTATGCAGTTTATTAAGCTTTACTTTATGCCATCCATTATTTTATGGAGATCAGTAATTATTTGTTTCTTTCTATCTCAAACACACAAAGCCTTCTCTTAACACTCAATGGGACTGTGCTAACTCAATCCCTTCTTGACAGAAAACAGGGGTCATTGTTTGTTTACCTGCTTAATCTGTTCAGTCTATCAGCCTCTTCATCTATCAATCCATCCCTGCCTGTCAGTCAGTTACTCACACATACACTCAAACACACATACCTTGATGTAGACGTTGAGCGTGCCCGGGCTGGCTCCGTCCCGACTGGAGAGAGAGTACAGAAAGTCGATGCAGTGGGTGTCATTTTCCTTCAGGGTAGGCATGTAAAGGTGAGCCTTCTGCCCCGACGCCCGCCCTGACGCATTCACCATCATGAACGAACCTACAGCCACAGAAACAGGAAGGAAAAGGCCAGAGAGTGTTCAAATATGATCGTAATAATACAGGTGCAATCAGAGTAGAGATCCATGAAAGACAAAAACAATACAAGGTTATAATATTTCAATGGGTCGAGGTGAACCTGTCCAAAAGGCATTGCGGGGCCCACACAAAGGTCTATGGAGACAATGCTAGTTAATGTTAGCTGTTAGCAACCGGAGTGCAGTACTGTTATTGTGGGATTTATAATTAACTAACGTTTTAAATGTTAAGAGAAGTCTCATTTGGTGACGTTATGATGTGTTTACGCTCTATTCAGTAATGAGAAGTATTTGTCAAAAGTATATTTTAAATGTATTGAGTGTTTAAATGTAGCGTTTAGAGCATGTTTTTGGCATAAAATGTAAATAATTAAGGTAAAAAAGAAAAAGATAAAAGTTCTACAGTACATTTGCAAATAAATCTGAGTTTAACTTTCATCTGTGTTTTAAAAAGTTTGTAATCTTTGGATTTGACGGATTTGACGCATCAAATTCCATCACATGTTTATAAATCTTGTTTTGTGTTCATATTTTATTCAAACAGGTTAATAGCCTTGATCAGCAAGTTTAAAACGGATTAGACTTGTTTCATTCTAATTAAACCAATGCCATCATTTATTTAGTGGTACTGATCAACATTAACTTTTTCTTTAAACTCTCCGCTGTAGCAGATATAGAATTTGTCGGTATGGTTTCTGTACTGTTGATATGATATCAGGTCTGAGCGCCATTCCGTTCGAAGCTTGATGCAGCAAAAACGCAAAAACAACTCGAGCTCTTTTACACACTTTGGACGTTTATCAGCGTCTTAATGTATCCACGCCCCGAGGGTTCTGAACCACGACAGAAAACACATTTTCTCCGTCGACTCGTGGTTAAAGTGTGTTTTAGTTTATGGTTTATGGCACAGGACGGAGCTTTTATGGGTCGACCGGCTCCATTTGGCTGACTGCCATCGGAGAGAGTTAGAAGTGACTGGGAGACTATTTGGCAAGAGAGTGTGAGAGGAGAGATACTGAATCAAGCAGGTGTGACTGTGCATTTCTAACAGTGTCTGTGTGTGCATGCCATGGCTACTCTATTGCTAAAGTGTGAAAAGTGTCCTGATTTCATGTAGTAGGAAAGAGAGAAAATGTGTGTGTGGGTAGTGGCTTAAGAAATGTAATTGGATTATGTACCTTTTATTTTGTAAATAGATCTAACCTTATCAGTCAGTTTTAATTAACACAATACAGGATAGGGAAACCCTCAAAAAGCATAATAGGGATGACCACAATTAATTTATTGCTAAGGCAAAATCATATTATAGATTACATTTTTTTTACTTATATATATATATATATAAATATAAATAAAAAAATATGCATTTACATCAAATAAAAAATACAACAAAATGGACATGTCACGTGTTCATTCAATTGCTTATGCATTTTACCAGAAACTGTTGCCTGGATGTCATGACATTTTGATTTGAAGGGTCAGTGCAGTGACTTTGACAGAGGCAGGAATGTGCAGACTACTGTACTTGTAAGGACATGTATTGACTTGCATTTATTTCTTATTATAACCTTAACATGACCTTAATTCTAACATTGCTCGGAAAAAAAAAACATTGTACATGTGTGTTGTATGTGTGTGGTTATTCCAACACACAGTTTTCTAGCACTACAGTTGTATGAACAGTTTTCTCTCTTTTATTATCATTATTTGAATGGAGATTTTAACTTTAATGTTGTGTTCGTACTATCCTAGACAGCAATGCTATACACACACATAAAATACATCATTCACTGTAAACAGACACAGGTGGCTAAAACAGATTACATCTAACACTTTGGCCTTGGCTAAATGGAGCTTATCTACAGCAGAACTGTGTGTGTGTGTGTGTGTGTGTGTGTGTGTGTGTGTGTGTGTGTGTGTGTGTGTGTGTGTGTGTGGTGTGTGTGTGTGTGTGTGTGTGTTTGTGTGTGTGTTGTGTATGTGTGTGTTGTTGTGTGTGTGTGTGTGTGTGTGTGTGTGTGTGTGTGTATGTGTGTGTGTGTGTGTGCGTGTGTGCGTGCGTGTGTTTGTTTGTGTGTAAAAAGTAATCTAGCCTGGGTGTCTAACCAGGTATTTTCACAGTGAACCTCCTGATTACATTTCTTATTCACACATACCACCAACGTGTATACTCACACACCCACCCACACACACACACACACACACACACACACACACACACACACACACACACACACACACCACACACACACACACACACACACACACACACACACACACACACACACACACACACACACACACACACACACACACAATCACGCACCACGTATACACCACTCTAACCACTTCTCTAAATTCGTAAAGCTGTTTGTTTCTGAAGGGGATTGTTTCGTTTAAAATGATCTTTTTGTTTTCAACCCGGGCTGGCGATAAGAGTGATGTTTGTTACCCAGAGACGGCTCTCACCAAGACAACTGTCACTATAGGGGAAGAGGACGTGTTACAATGTCAGTCAAACTGAAAGAAATGACATGCACGCCCATCCATTCACACCATTTGCAGTTGTACCAATACATGCAAAACACAGATTTCCATATAATGAAATATGGTTCACACATTCTCATTCTCTCATTTCACACGTTGTTTCCCAGCTGTGAGGTCAGAGGGGAGCAATCTGTTAACGTGAGAAAACCTGATGAATCTGTCTTCCGTGTCACCACACACACACACACACACACACACACACACACATCAAAATAACTGGGTCATCTCAGTGGAACAAACGTTCCAGTGCACAATGCCACATGAGACCAGCTGTTTTCACGAATACTGTTGGGAGTTTGAGACCTTGCTTTTATTTTCCACAGTACTACATCTACATCTAAAGTCAGCAGAGGGCTCAACAGCGTCGCACGCCCTCTGGAGTGCCTTTGAGCACAGCATTTAACCCCCAGTTGCTGTTCTGCATCTCCACATGGTGCAGATCTGTTTAGAATATGGTGTGTCTATGTGTACGGATCTAGATTCAAAATAGTAACGTCTCAGAAAAAAACAAGTTAAAATAGGCGAAAAGAAGATATTTGACCAAAGTAAAAGTTGTAATTCTACAGTGTAAATTACTTAAATGCTACATTCAAAAATCATACTCCAGTAAAAGTAAAAAAGTATTTGCATTAAAATATAATACAAGTTGTAATACAATACAAATATATTATACAAATAGTTCTTGTCATGTAGTATGGCTGAATTCAAAATCATATCGATGAAGTTACTGCATGTGTTCATCACTTCAATGTTGCAGCTGGTAAAAGTGGTGCTAATTTATAATCTTATCTGAAAAGTGAAGACGAATCCAAGCTCTTAAATGAATGTATTGTTGTAAGAAATGCAATATTTACCGACAAAATTCAGTGAAGTAAAACTATGAAGTAGCATAATGTGAAAATACACACTTGAAGTTCCTCAATGTTTTACTAAAGTACATTACTTGAGTGAGAGGTTACATTTCACTTTTGCATCAAGTGACTGATTGGTATTAACCTATTTATCCCCAGAGCAACCAATATATGTTTTTAATATGGGATATATATACTGAACTATATCTTTTTGAAACATATATTAGTAGTTATATCAAGTCTTAGTATTTGAAACTATAGAAACAACATATATAACTCAAAGCTATAGTGATATACTGTGTAGGAAAGGACAGATGAATAAGATTGAAGAAAAATAAAAGCTGTGTGAGCTGCCAAGACCTTAAGACTGAACAGAATAAATGTTTGGCAGCGCTTAAAGTACTTTAAGACTGACTGAGCTATTAATCAGACGTATGTTAGGGAGAGAAGAAATGAGAAAACATGGTTAACAGTGGGGTTTTCTCCCATCAATACAAAAGGAGACTCAGTCAGATCAATAATGATACAGAGTGGATTGTTAACACATAATACACACCAGAGGTGGGATCAAGTTAGTGGTCTGCAAGTCACAAGTCAAGACTGACAAGATCCAAGTCAAGTTCTAAGTCCTAGCATTTCAGGTTCCAGTCATAATGATTCTCTGTATGTCATTTGTAATTGTTCAATCCTAAATTATTTTACTGTCATTAGTCATTTTTTGACCGCCGCACAATCGTATGTGAACAAAGTGATCTTTGGTGTAATTGATCTACCTGGTGCTCACTATTGTAAGATAATGATTCTCTATAGAACCTTAATGCTGTCTACTTGGTTCAAACTAGGTTGATATGGGAATTTGGGTGTTCACTTGATGTAAATGAGTCATTTTCAAGATTAGGAAATACAAATAAATGTATTGAATATCAACTTTTAAAATAACATACATTTTAATCTTTGGGGCTTAGGGTTAGGTATCAAGTATGTTTACATCAAAAAGCTCAAATCCAAGTGAAGTCAAGTTGCAAGCCTTTTTGGATGTTGTCAAGGCGAGCCATTACATTTATGAACGTAGTAAGGACATGTGACTCAAGTCCAAGGACATATCCAATCATTATTTAAAAGGTAAATGTACAGCATTCGTGTGCATACCGGAGGAGAACAAACCTCTTTCGTGTGAGAGGATGTGTGTTTGTGTATAACTGTCTGTGTTTCTATGTTGCGTGTGGGAGGCCAGGGGAGTTGCCGAGTCCCTTTACAGGAGTGGGGAACTGGCTATGAAAGGCGTGGGACGCCAGTTAAAAACGAGTAGGTGCTACACACACTACACAAACATATCTCATCTTCCTACTTAAGATTGGTTTGGGACGTGCTTCCTATCATTTATATTCCATTCGCAGAAGCAGGTTGCTTCATATGTTGCTTGAAATATGTTTATTTCTCTTACATTTTCTCCCATGTTTGGTTATTTTCAATAAAAGAGAACCATTTTGCATTCTAACACAAAATTGGTTCAATTGGAATGGGTGAGGTCTGCAAGGGAATTATTTATGACGGATTCTGACAGG